CGCACAGCCCTCAAGACCTGGCTAGCCCGTCAGGGCTGGGGATAAAGATAATCTGTCCCCACCCGAATGATGAATGAATGTTGTTAATTATTTTACTTTTATGTATTATTTTGTGTCTATTGTCTGTACCCTCCCTTCCCCATTTTATGTAAACCGCCCTGAGTCCCCTCAGGGAAAAGGGCGGCCTATAAATATTAATAAAATACAAAAAAAATACACAAATACAAAATCTACTTTTTCAAAAAGCAGATTTGTATTAAGATGCACTTGTTTATCTTCTGTAGAAAATGTGACAGACACTTGGATCGGACTAAGCTGTAATAAGACTCCTGTTGAGTTTGAGTGGTCTGATGGATCTGCTGTAATCTTCACCTACTGGAATAAACAAGAACCAAATATTCTTCAGAAGAAAGGACAAATTTGCGTTTCGGCTCAGCAACATGTATGATTTTTTTTCTTTTTAAAATAATTCAGTGAACGAGTTTGGATGTCATGCATCTCGTGTTACATGTGTGTCTGTGTGCTACCTGTATTACAGAATATTGTGAGCCTACTGTATTTGATGATATTCAATATAGCAATAGCACTTAGACTTATATACTACTTCACAGTGCTTTACATCCCTCTCTAAGTGGTTTACAGAGTCATCATATTGCCCCCAACAATGTGGGTCTTCATTTTACTCACCTTAGAAGAATGGAGGGCTGAGTCAATCCTGAACTGGTGAGAATCAAACTCCTGGCAGTGAGTTGAATTAGCCTGCAATACTGCATTTTAACCACTACTCCACTGCGCCAGCACGACTCTCATAAAACAATTATTTTTGTGCATACAACAATTAGTAACAAAACAGTATCTCTGCACAGCTATCTCACCTATCTGATCCATAACTATTAATATAGTCATCTTTTTCCATGCAGGGCAATCAATTTCTCATTTCACTGGTTTCTCCCTACTACAGTATATTATCTAAGGCCTTTGCATGTTCCATTTAACTGTACTTTTTCAGACTCATTATTTCAGGCACTTTTCTTTCACAGCCCTTCATTTGCTCGCATATTTGAATTTTTCCAAAGTAATTTGAAAAAATGCCAATGCTCATGGGTTTTTTTCTGATTTGGGAGATATCTTGATAAATATTCTATGATATTACACAATAGTTCTATGAATTATTGAGAACAATATATGGCAGAAGTGCAAAGCAGTCAACAAATTTTAAATTGGATAAGCTACTGAAATATAATACATTTATATTTTAGTTTTTGGAGTTATTATTATACAAACTTTTACTTTAATAAAATTATAATACACTTAAAAGCTCTGTGAAACATAGCCCACGTGCACTAAATATTAGAAGACTGTAGAAGATATAAAGATATTAGTAATACCCTCATTCTTATGAGTATGAGTAAAGCACCTGAAATTTTTTTGTTTTAAATTTATTGGCCACACAAATAAGTAAGCCTTTCTGGAAAAAATAAGATACTTGAGCTATTTCAGTTGTTTTTCTGTTGTAATTCTATGCTCATTGTTTTTGACTAGGATGGACGCTGGGAAGTGAAAAATTGTAAAAGCAGATATTTCTATATTTGTAAAAGAAGAGGGAATATATGCAATCACGTTTCTGAAGTGGAATCAGGCTGTCCAGAGGTAATATTTAAATATGTGTTCTACTATAGTTTGAAAAGAGTTGAAGCACCTTTTGAAATATCACACATCTTTTGGGTTTATAATATGCGTATATTACATACAAAAGTAAATTGTACTGGGATCAGTAGAATGTATTCCCAAGATAAAAATTGTTTCTTTGTTGACATTAATCAATCTGCTTAATATAATCAGCAATCTTTGTGCAAGGCATCTTTCTTGGAAGTTTTGTATTATAGAATAAAAACATATTACTGGGGGTGCAGGCTAACTTTTAGGAAGGGCTAAAACTTAACCAGTATCTAATGGCATGACATCCACTGAGAAAAGAATTAACTGATTTTATATTATTCTTTGACTCAATTTCAAGGAATATATTATGGAGGAAATTTGAAAATTCCACAATAGATTGCTGGCTTCTTATGCTGACTATGAATCTATATGAAGGATCGTATGAAGGATCCCTATATTCTCAGGGCCATCTAAAATGTGTGTTTTTTCCAAATCCAGGATGAAGCAGAGTTATATATTAAGCAGGAGTGGGCTTCAAAAATTGCGGCAACAAATTTGCTGCCCCATTGCTGGGTGGGCATGACCATGGTGGGCATGACCTTGTTAGCCTCCTGCACCACAGCAGGTGGGAGTATTTTATGCCCTCCCCAGCTCCAGAGGCTTTCATCGAACCTCTGGGAGGGCGAAAACTGCTTTCCCCCAGACTCTGGAGGCCTTCTGGAGGCCAGAAACAGGCCCATTTCCGGAATTTCTGGTAGGTCCGTTTTTCACTCTCCACAGGCTCCGGAGGCTTTCCTCGAGCCTCAGGGAGGGCGAATACTGCTTCCCCAGAGGCTGGAAACAGGTCCGTTTCCGAACTTCCGGTAGGCCTGTTTTTTCCTCTCACCGAGCCTCTGTGCAGACCCTGTACTTACCTGGCATGATGAATGGGCCACGTGGAGACTCCTGGGAGGGGTGGGAAGGGCCAGCCGGGAATGGGATTTGGGGGTTTGCTGAACAACTCAGAATCTTCGCTAGAGCTTCGCCCAAACCCTTGCGAACCCCCAGCAGCCCACCCCTGATATTAAGGCTCTCTCTCTCTTTAATTTCTATATTAATTTGTTGATTGAAACAATTTCTGACTCTAGTTTGTGTCCTCCAGTTACGCCCCATGGAAAGGTTACCTCTTTTGTTGTATGCTGATATTTACTGTAGAGCTGAAAAGTCCTTCAGGCATTTGCCTCTTACTACTTTGAAGAATAATGTATCAAAATATTTATTCTAAGTTCAAAAGCCAGGCTTTTTTTTTCTAAATGTTTAACAAAACATAGCTGGCAGATTGATAGATGTTAAGACAGATGCAAGTTAAATATACAGCTGTGTTGGTGTTGCTTTCTGGTAGCCTTGATTAAGTATATTAGAGACTCGGTTCAGAAATGTATGGCTGCAATTTTCAGGTGGGTTTTTTTTACCAATGGGGATTTACATATTACCTCTACAATTTGAGCCTTCCAGGGCAAGGCAGTCATAAAGCTGCTTTATGAAAGACAGACTTCTTGGGTAAAGCTTGTTTCATGCTGGAAGCAAAGTTATATTTGTGGTCTTTTATTGTGTACCTAGCGCTGTCTGACACGTGGAGGCAGAATCTATTGCAATGGAAGCACAAATGGGGATCAACAAAATCAGTTTCTGGCTTCAAATATCTTCCCCCAGGGCCTGACATCCTTGATTCTAATGGATGTCTTTTACTCAAGTTGGAAAAAAACTTTTAAGACAAAACTACACAGCATTTGTCTGTCTGCCTTAGTCTTGCAAGCCTTGGATTTCTCCCAAAATAAAGAGGCCATAAGAGAGAAACTGGTGAATATTGATGTATAAGCAATCTCTCTTTGCTTTGAGAAAGAAAATTTAACCAAAACTTTTTTTCCAAACTAAGTATCTTTCTTTTCACCTTAGCTCATTTCAATGCTCTATCTTTAGCTTCATTGGAAATAAGATTCTGCCAAATTTCCGTTGAGGAAAGGTTTTGCCCTTGTAATTTTTGGTAACAATTGAAACTATGGTTCATATCCAATTATTGTGTCATGTTAAAATAATATTCATCACTTTTAAATAGCCTTGATTTTAAGTATGTTTCCTTGTATATTAAGGGTACAGTATTTATATCTCAATTCTCATTAATTATAATAATGATGTTCTTTTTATAATTGAGAAATTCTTCCTTAGAACTTGTGCTACTAGAAAGCAAATGATATAACTGGCAGGTATTTTTCTTTTATTCTGCTATTAGCTGATAACCTGGGTATTTATTTATCCCAATCCTGTATTAGACGTGAAAAGGAATGAATTATAACTGGCAGCGTAAGTGCGAAATGGGCTGTCGTCCTTCATTCCATTACTGTCGTCACAATTCCTGAAGAGGCGATGGCAAGAGCAACTTCTCCCTGTGCCCTGATTTTGGCAACAATTAAATTAGTTAAAAATGTTTTTCCTGTGCTCCCAGAAGCATCAAGAAAAATGATACCACCGTGTTGAAAATGTCTAGACCAAATGTAATTTCTAATGTTGGATTTCCCCCCTTACAAGCGGGCGCCCCCTTGTGGAGTACTGGGAAACCATTACCATGGCAACTCCACTGCACTGTACAGTAGAATCCATTTTACGGCAGTACAGTAGAATCCATTTTAC